GTTGAGTTAAAAACGACATCACAGCACTCGGTGAATTCATAAAAGCTCTCTGTCACCATCCTAGGCAGCCAGCTAAGAGTTCCAGTGAGCAGTCTGTCTTGCCTTTCACTTGAATGTTGAGTGATGGCCAGACCCCCTGGCCACTTTGCTCTGTACCATTTCTGTTTTGAATTTCAAATATATAATTTTAACATATTTGTATTTTTTTTTTTTTTTTTTTTTTTGCAATATTAGTTCTCTACTTTTTAATAGTAAAAAGAAGGCATTTTCTGGCTGGATGGCCAGTTTGACGGTGTTAGGAACAGCCCTAGTTCTGTAATAATTATTATGTTTTTATTTAATTACTCAGTACAAAATTTATGTTTTAAACAGTGAGATTCCATCTATATTTTGTAATGGTTTGGATTGATTTATGCTGGTAACATGCCTTAAAGTCCATGCCGTTTGGCGATGGTAGTCTTGTCTATCTACAACATTCTGTCTCGTGTATTTTTAATCAACTCTGACACAGATGAACCTTCATGCCATGAAGTCAAATTGTCCAACATGTTTTCTCTCGGTCTTTTTTTTTTTTTCTCTCTCCTCCTCTCCAGCTTTTCCCCTTTGCTACGATGTACTCCAGTTTTCTCCTCCTCATCACATGACCAAAGAATGTAGATTGTCTCTTTATGATGTGGCAGTCAGTTCTCTTCGTGAGTCCCTTTTTTTTCAAGACATTTTCATTACTCTTTTTATCTGTCTAGGGGTATTCTGATCATTCGTCTATAAAACCATATCTAAGCAGCTAATCTACCAACTGTCACTTCCGTTTATCAAGATAGGATGTATATAACCTTTAAGAATTATCTTCCTTGTCTCAGTTGACAAAGAAAGATTGCATAAAATATTCTTCATTTTGTAATGTGCTGCTTTCGTTTGAGCTATTCTCAATTTAACTTACTTATTATATCCTCCATCTGATGTTGTTTTTTAGTTTTCTTTGTAATTAATATTACTTCTGTTTTTCTGCTGTTCAAACTAAGACCCTTGTTTTCACTTTCGGTTACAATTATATCCATCGTTTCTTGCAGTTTGGTTTCATTTTCAGCGATCAAAACTATATCGTCAGAATATCGTAGTTTATTAACAGTATGCCCTGTAACCGCTTACCATACCATATATGGATCTAATTATTACGTCACAGTACAAATTGAATAAATCGAGTGATAGTACACAACCTTGTGTAACATTTTGTTTAATGTTTTGATAAGTGCCAACTTTGTAGTCAATTCTTGTTGTTGCTTCTTGTTGCCAGGAAATGTTTTTGATTATCCTCAATTCTTTACCATCAATGTTAAAGGTTTCCAAATTTCTAATAATTTCTTTATGTATAATCAAATGTTTCCTTGTAATCAAAAAGCAAAAAACATATTTCTGCTCATGTCAATCATTCTTTCTGAAAGTTTTCTCAATATAAACATGGCGTTGTTTGTGCCTTCAACAAAGCCACACTGCTCTTCTCCAGTGTCTGATTTATTTTGCACCGTATTCTTAGGATTTTAGTTGCATGACCCACTGAACTAACTGTTCCTTTAGTTCGACGTTAGTCTCCCCAAAAAGAGTAGGTCAGTTTTCATTGACAAGTTTGTTGGGCTGGTCGACTTTCCTGGAGGTTACGGGCGTGTCCCGCTCTCTTGTTTGGTTTCCTTGATGTCTTGCATTACCGTTTTCATTCCGAGAAAGAGAATACTTGTGACATAGGTTTCAGCAAGACAGACGAGAGCCTGTTCACAAGACACACACAAATCAGGAGCGACGAGTTATCCCACAGCAGTGGGTATTGAGTGGGGGTATCTGTTGTGAGACAGATGAGAGCTTCAATATTTAGCCACAGTTTGTCCACCCGATGCACACACTTTTTCGCACCGATCGAAGTCATGTCATAATACTCCTAAATTTTTAGACTTTCCCAGGTATTCTGGGATTTCCTTTGTTTAGGGCGAGTTAAAAGAACCATATTATCTTATTCCAGTTTAAAATATTTGCCGTGCAACTTTAATTACATTAATTTCTAAATGGTTTTTTTAAATTAGGAATTTATAAAAAAAAAATAATAATAACGTTCCGCCAAGTCTTTCATAAAATGCAAATAGGCTTTTGGAGTATAGGTCGTCGTTATAAGATGCAATTTTGCATTTGTACAGCAAATTATATTAAACAGGGACATACTCAGTTTGTAGCCTACATATTTCAAAGAAGCGAGCTCAGTTGCGAAAATTACTATAAATATTTAATTGCAAATGATTATTTTACATTGACAGGACTGATCAGAAAAGACAAATCAGGAATAAAGTCATAAGAGCGGCAGATAAAATGGCTTGCCCACTTAGAGAGAATACTCACCACTCTTTACCTTACAAGGCATTTAATACACACAATGATGAGAGGTATGTAGAGCACGAAATAGACCAACACTAGAAGTGATTAAAGAGCAAGTGGCAGAATCTTGTATCTCTTTCCACATCCAAAAGGGTCAAAGAGGAAGTGAGGAAGAAGGAAAACAATGAACGGCAAAAGATGTTTTCAACGGCATTAGGAAAAGATATTAACATCAAACGTGTGTGTCTCTTTGTCTCCCACTCCGCTGATGTTCCAAGTAGCCATACTAAACGTTGTACACACAGGCGCCCGTACGCGCGCGCACACCCACACACACACGAAGATAATTATTTATGGTTCTTGTTTTAAAAAAAACACAAAAATCTTCACATTAGAAGCATCAGCATGTACAGTGAATAAACAGTTAGAGAGCTGAAACAATTGTTGTTCGTTGAATCATTTGATTATCGCTGTCGTGACATCTGATTGGTTGTGGAATCGTTGTCGCATGGTGACCTGTTTATAAAGGAGCGAACAAATGAAAGTCACATGGCCATACACACAAACTGCAACCTTCCACTGGTTTCCGAGCCAGCTACAAACTTATCGTTGGCATTACGTCAAAGTCAACTCAAGTGTCATTATACCGATTTTATTCTAAATGCATATTCAGGGGTTATAGTGCGTTTAGAAATTTATACCAGTGTTCAAACAGTTATATCTCAGCTGTAGTGTAAAATCAATTGATAAAATTATATAATAATATTTACTTCTTTTTCAACGTTATGTCATATTAAACCTCCCCCCCCCCCCCCCCCCACCTAGTAACTATAATGCATTTTTCCTTATTTGAGGTATATAAATATACGATGGTCCTTGCTGCACTGCCTTTTAAGAGTTATACAGCACCAATTTTAAATTTAACCAATCGATATTTCCTCACACACACACACACACACACACACACACACACACACAAAAAACACTTGAATCCCGTGATTTACATCAATTCTAAAGAAGAACTTAACTGTTGCGCTGAAAGTGCTACATGCTCTGTAAAATCCGTGTGCTGCCACGTTTCGTTTGAAATTGCAAAGGTTTAATTTGTGCGACTAGTTCTTGCCTTATCAGAATGGCATGAAAGTTAAATTCGTCACACTAACAAATATAACAATGCAATAAGATAAATATTTCTCATTTGAGCCCGAAGGCGGTTGCCTGTATCATTCTGTTTCAAACCTAGAGAAAAGAACAAAAAACGTTACTCGAAGTTGCAATAGTTTAGACAACCCCATGGGAATGCTTACTCATAATAGTTTCTGGGAATTTATACGAACACATATCGAACAACGTCCTCCTCATTCCCCCGCCACCTACCCACCCAGCCAGTCGAAATAATCTATAAATAATCTCCAGACCTACAGCCTTGTCCCCTCCAGATGCTACCTGCAAATTTTGACACCCCTGAGATTTCAAGAATGTCATTTCTGACCAACATAACAATCCTTACAGAAAAAAAAAAAAATCAATCTTAATAGTGATCTTGACAGAGCTCAACAATGAAAGTTACATCTTCCCGCGACACTTCACTGAGGTAATAGGTAGAAGAGAAGAAGAAGAAGAAGAAGAAGAAGAAGAAGAAGAAGAAGAAGAAGAAGAAGAAGAAGAAGAAGAAGAAGAAGAAGAAGAAGAAGAAGAAGACAACCAAACTCAATCAAATCAACCTCCGAAGAAGCTATAAGCTGGGAACATGTAACGGTGGCATCAAGATGGTGTAGCGTGCAGTCCTGTACGGGTAAAGTTGTAAGTGATCATTTGAAGTCTTTTTCTCACAGTCCATGCCGCTAGTGGTGGTAATCATGTGTTGACACAAACTCCTGACTCCAGGAACGTAAATCATGTTATAAATGTTTTCGCACAGCCTTCTATGTACACATAATGTACAGATTATTTACAAAGATGTCTATTAAAGCCGTAATACCGAATCGTCTAGCATCTTATTCCTTCCTCTCTCTCTCTCTCTCTCTCTCTCTCCTCTCTCTCTCTCTCTCTCTCTCTCTCTCTCTCACACACACACACACACACACACACACACACAGACTGCCTCCCATCTTCTTTAGCGTTTCCCTTGTCATGAAGTACTTTGAATTTCCAGTTTTCACCATTTGACCAAAGAATGTTGACTGTCTTCATCAAATGAAGGTAAATATTCCTGTTCTTGGGTTGAGGTTTTTTGTTTTACAAGACATCTTCATCTTTTTCTTTTTCACAACGTGACCAGAGGATGCAGATTGTCGACAAATCAGTGCACATTTTTACGCTAATATTTAGTTAAACAATGTATGTAGACGTATACACTCATGTTTGTTTCGTTTGTTTTGCAACGTCTACTCTTATGTTCTTAGCTCTTGTATATTCCGTGACTACAAAGTGGGGCTGACAATGCAATGCCAGCACGATTGTCAAAAGTAAACAATATCATTTTCCATTGCCATCTGACGTCTGACAAGAATGAACAGACCAATTGACTGTCTATTTAACTGACAACTGTCAAGCGTGAACATATTCACATGACTGTCTTTTTCACTGACGACTGTCAAGCATGAACAGATTCACTTTACTGTCTATTTCATTGACAACTGTCAAGCGTAAGCAGATTCACTTTCCTCTTCTATTCGACGCCTAGAGAACAAGTTTTCAAAAATGTGCCTGAACGTGGGGTTGAAGGCCACGTAGACAAAAAAGTTGCAGGAGCTGTTGATATCCACAAATCGGTATCTAATTATGTCGTAAAACAGAGAAACCTTATTCACGTCCGAATCATCGAAGTAAAACGAGGGAATGTAGCGAATCACAAAACAAAACCGTGTAATAGAGTAAATTAGACACACCATCAGGAGTGTCTTTGTAGTTTTAGATGCTGATCTTTGCACTGATGTACCAGATACCATTTTTTGACGATGTGACGCGATAATTCTAAGTTTGATGCTAATTGCTAAACTGCCTATAGCGACAATGATCAGCGGTAAAGTATGAGATGGCTGGGAAATAATTACATCGCTGAACCACCCAACATCGAAACTTGAACTGTTAAAATAATCTGACATGGAGTCCCAAGTTGTGAACGACTGAAATCTGTCGTTATATTCAGAGTTAAATTTGAACCAGAATATTTGGAAAATAGACCACGGAAGCCAAAATAACAGTGAAAAGAAGAGTACCATCCAAGCTCGACTACGTGTCACAATTCTTTTCAATTTCAAAGGATTAAACACGGCAATAAGACGTTCAGCTGTGATTATAACAGTAATCACAGTGGATAATCTTGCACCCAGTGCGGAAAGGAAAAATAAAAATACTTTAAATACAAAAAGAGTTAACGCAGGAGCATATGAAAAGAAGAGCAAATTGCACCCATAGTAAATACAATCCCTGTTCTGCATATAAAGGTAATCCGATACATCAAAGATGTATAATAGGGCCATGGTGTCAGCAATAGCCAGGCCAAACAGAAAGATGTTAGAAGGCTTGCGGAGTCCACTTTTGACGATAATCACTATGCTGATAACGTTAGAAACGATGCCGACAGAGCAGATTACAGGTCCTACAACAAACTGATTAAACCAACGTGTTGCATATGTCAAGTAATCAATTTTAGCAAATACAGGCGTGATCATAGGCTGAGTACTGTTTATGATATCCAGTGTGTAGAGATGAGTGTTATTAGTGGACATTTTTAACTGAATGTGGCGACTCGCTGCTTAACAGTTCTACACAACTTTTGATTCCAGCTGGTGGACTGACTAATTGGATGTGTGAACGTACTTGTTCATTTTAGGTCTCAGTCAGTGTTGTTACACATGTTTCTTCAAGAAAGGACATTAGGTGAATGTAAAATATTTACGCGCTTGTTACTTCTAGCAAGTTGCTCGCTAATATAAAATATTAACACGCTGGTTGCTTGCAGCAAGTTGACTAGCTAATGTAGAACTTCAAAACGCTGATTGCTTCTTGTAAGTGGACTCACTAATGTAGAATATGCACACGCTGGTTTTTGCAGCAAGTTGACTCGCTAATATAGAATATGAACAGGCTGGTTGCTTCCAGCAAGTTGACTCACTAATGTAGAATATGAACACGCTGGTTGCTTCCAGCAAGTTGACTCACTAATGTAGAATGAATGACGGCTGGTTGCTCCAGCAAGTATGAACACAGCTGGTTTGCTTCCAGTAGTTGTCTGGTTGCTCCAGCGCACTCTCTAATGTAGAATATGAACACGCTGGTTGCGTCCAGTAAGTTGACTCTCTAATGTAGAATATGAACACGCTGGTTGCGTCCAGTAAGTTGACTCTCTAATGTAGAATATGAACACGCTGGTTGCGTCCAGTAAGTTGACTCTCTAATGTAGAATATGAACACGCTGGTTGCTTCCAGTAAGTTGACTCGCTAATGTAGAAAATGCACACACTGGATGCTTCCAGCAAGTTGATTCGCCGATGGAGAATATTAACAGGCTGGTTGCTTCCAACAAGTTGACTCGCTAATGTACGTTATCTACACGCTTATTCCTTCTAGCAGATTGGATCGCTTATGTAGACTATTGACAGGCGTGTTCCTTTTAGTACGTTGACTCGCTAATGAAGACTGTTAACATGCTTGTTACTTCTATAAAGTTGACTCGCTACTGTAGAGCAAAAACACGTGTGTTCTTTTCAGCAAGTTGACTCACTAATGTATAATATTAGGACGGTTGTTCATTTTAGCAAACTGATTCGCTAATGTGAAATATTAACACATTTGTTCCTTCAAGCAAATTGACTCTCTAATGTATCCTTCTAGCAAGGTGACTCGCTAATTAGATTAGCAAATTAACTCCCTAAAGTAGAAGAGTATACATGTGTTCCGTCTACAAAGTTGACTCGCTAATTAGAGTATTAACAAGCTTGTTCCTTCTAGTAAATTTGCCTCGCTAATCTAGAGGAGTATTAACACGCTTGTTGCTTCTATCACGGCGACTGGCTGACAAAAAATGTTAATGCAAGATGCAGTGGGAACCAGGGCTGCCGAAGTTGGTACAAATTTGGTTCTATTTGACCCTTGCCAAGCAAAACTGTACTTTTAGCACAAAGCCAGATGTTTTCTACATTTTAGACATTGTGCATCAGTATAATAAATTCTGGCATTGCCCTAAAGGAAGAAACTGAAAACAGTTTTCTTTTAGTATCAGAAATAAACTTAGTCTTTTTGAATTATTTCATTCCTCTGCATTTGCAGAGACTGTTTTCTCTCTGACTGACAATATTCAGATACAAAATCGCTCTTCTTTGAAGACTTCACCAACATGTACATTGATGAGATCACAGTTGTTGTTCCAAAACATTTATTGCACCAGTGGGAAACTGTCACAATAGCATTGTAAGAAACTGAGCGAAAAGAAAAAACATATCAATGATTTACTTGACAAAGAATTTAAATTTTGATCAAATGAAAGGTAAGTCGATTTTTTTAATGTGTGTAATGTATATGTGTGTGTGTGTGTGTGTGTGTGTGTGTGTGTGTGTGTGTGTGTGTGTGGGTGTGGTCTTTAAACACGTTTAAACGGGTTTTTTCAATAAACAAAAAAAAAAAAAAAAAGAAAAAAAAAAATATGGTACCTTTTTGTGTGTTTTGGTATCTTTTCAAAAATTCCTTTGGTAGTATTTCCCCCCACCCCCCCCCCCCTTCAACCCCGCTGTCGACCCCCACAAACACCCCTCTTTATTTCCAAGAAAAAAAAACTTTCGGCAGCCCTGTTGGGAACTCTTGTCACTGTCTAGAGCAAGCAGATCTGGAACTTAACCTGATCGTTGCCGCCATGCACGTGTAAAAAACCTTACAAATTATTGAATGAATTATTATTAGATTTTGGAATCTTTTACTAACTGATTCAGTCATTAATATGATTATACATTTGTATCTTGGTTATGCTAACACTAAATGGTATACTGCAACGTGCGGGAGACCTAGGCTAGGCTCTTTGATCAGCTGGTTAAAAATTAGTTGCTTATCCTTTACAGGACGTTGCAGAACCAACCGCAGCATTTTTTTTCCTCCTGTGATTTTTCTGGGCAAATTTTACGTTCAGTAGTTTGCCATTGTTTACTGGACGATCAGCTCTCGATAGTGGAATCGAGCGCTGATCGAAACCAAGGCAAGGCGCAAGGTCTTCACCTGGGATCGAACCCACCACCGGGGCGTTACGAAGCGCGTTCGCAACACCTAAGCCACAGACGCCGACAGTAGATGGTGCTGTATTAGTAATATGGTACTTAATTATAAGCGGCGTCCGTGGCTAAGGCGTTGCGAGTCCGACTCGTAAGCCAGCACACCGCGATCGAAACCCACTGCAGGCTGCGTGGATTTTTGTCGTGGTATGGGACGTCGCAGGTCGACCCAGCCTAAAATGGGTACCAGGATGGGCTGTCCTGGGAAAGTAAAGACAGCCGGCGTAATGCTGACCACATTACCCACAGAGTGCTGATGGTCTGTAAAAATATGGGACGCTCTGTCCATATGCCCGATGCGCCGAAAGGCGCATCGGGCATATGTTTTCGTTACCTGTATTGTTAAAAGGCGTATGTATATATATATATATTTTGTCTTTCTGATTAGCTGGTTTAATTTAAAACAGTAGGGGCTTCAGGGCTTTATATAGCTCAGGGCCTCATCAAGTCTAAATCCGAACCTGCTTGCACCAGTAAAACACAGGCTCTCGCCGAAAGGCGCATCGGGCATTGTGTACTTTACTTACTTAATTATAAGACTAAACACAGATAACAAAAAGGACACTGAACGTCCACGTAAACTGTTTTCCCCGTGCTGTTGTCATGCAACACAGGCCCGGGTTTAAGTATAAGCCAAACAAGCTAAAGCTTAGTACCTCACACTGTGTAGGGGCTTCAGAATATATTTGGAAACAGAGAGCATCCATGTCTCAGGAAACATTCTGTCCATTTAGCATCATAAGTAAACTAAAGCTACATCTTACGTAGCATATCTTTTGATGACATAATCAATGATTTTCCGATCAGGAAATTGAGAAAAAAAAATGTTTTAAGTTGTAACTTACAAGTAAAGTGAATAACCCTTTTCCACGTCTTTAGGCATCTAGGACATATACGGCTAGACCAATATTTTATAGACCAATCGGCACAAGATGGGTGATGTGGTCAGCATCACACCGGCCGCCTTTACTTCCCAGGACTTCACCCGGTACCCACTCAAGGCTGGGTCGACCTGAGAGCCAGGGTCATATTTGGAAGACATATAAAGTCCTGTTCCGCCAGGGAGCGAACCCACGACTTTCCGATCCGCAGGCGAGCGTCTTGGCTCTCCGCCATGTAACTTACTAGCCTTTAGGAAAATAATATAAAATAATGTATGTACTGTGCAGACACATTCTGATAATTGATTTTAGTAAAAATTACACGAAAATATGTTTTCGTTACCTGTATTGTTAAAAGGCGTATGTATATATATATATATATATATATATATATATATATATATATATATATATATATATATTGTCTTTCTGATTAGCTGGTTTAATTTAAAACAGTAGGGGCTTCAGGGCTTTATATAGCTCAGGGCCTCATCAAGTCTAAATCCGAACCTGGTTGCACCAGTAAAACACAGGCTCTCGATCAACTCATGCTAAGTTGAATAAACTTTATTCACAATTTATTGTGTTTTGCAGATAAAGTGTGTTCACAAGAAAGACTTGACCAGCCTAACGCTTATTTTCCTGATTGGCCTCCTATGACATGCATGACAGAGTGCACCAGTGCTGAATTTAATTATAAGCTAAATGAGCTTTAGCCTCAAAGTCTGCAAGGGCCTCTACAAACTGCTTTCTTTTTTTTTTTTCGCAAATGAAATGTTTTTTTAACACACCTTTGTAGAGGATTCTCAACGTCTGTGGCTTAGGCGATGCAACTGCGCTTCGTAATGTCGGGGTGCCAGGTTCGATCCCAGCTGCAGACCGTTTGAATGGTGTTGGTTTCGGCAGTGGTACCGATAGCTGACCGTTGAGGCCTAATCGCAGACTACTGAACGTAAAACGTGCCTACAAAAACCACAACAGTAAAAAAAATGCTGGGGTAGGTTCTTCTACATCCTGTAAAGGATATACAGTAAAATGTTTACAGGATTAAATAATATAGTTTCTATGATTTTACAAACCCATTCTTTTTTACTTGTTTTACTAAAAATTAAACAATATAGTTTCCTTTTTCATACATGTTGAACCTCGATTATCCGGACTGCTTATTTATCCGGTCTAGTTTTTTAAACCTTTCTCTGAAATTAAGAGGAAAGATGGAAACATTCGTGAAGTAGTCAATTACCAACGACTGTTTCAAAAACTAAAAACTATATGTTTTGACTGTTTCATCTTCCTTTATTTAATGACTTATAGATTAACAATACGTAAGGGAAAGAAAAGGTTAATTCATTTTTGACAGTTAAGTCTGCCTTTTACGTTAATGTTTTGTTTATTTAAAATGGGCATGTTTACACATGCGATTGTACGGTGTAAGTGCTGTTATTTTTCCTGCAAGTTTAGTTAGAAATAAATTTTACCTTAGAATGTGACAAATATTATTATTTTCGGACTTCCTTTTCTCGATGTGTTGAGAACGTACAATACAGTACGTCAGTATTATTTGTTAGGTACTGGCCTGTTCTGAAAGGT